TATAGACGACAAGGTTTTGAATGATTGTGTGAACGAGATTACGCGCGCTCTTATGCACTCCGACGTTCAGCTCTCCATCGTCAAGTTAAACGATGTCGCTGCAGGCCACAACAAACGCAAAATTATCAAACAGGTAGCGTAATCAAACACGTGCATGCATGCACATATCGATATATAGATGATTTTAATTTCGCCTTTTTTTGTTTTGTGTAGGCTATTTTCTGCGAACTATGCAGGGTATTGAATTCGGGGAAGGCTTCATTCACCCCAAGAAAAGAGAAAAATAGTGTTGTTATGTTTGTTGGTTTGCAAGGTATATATGTATATATATATATATATATATATATATATATATATATATATATATATATATATATATATATATATATGCATGTTGTAGTCACCAATTTTATTCTGCAATACATACATTTTTTTTGTAGTGATCTTTTTTACATATATTTGATTCTATAAACGAATATAGGGTCGGGGAAAACAACGACTTGTACGAAATATGCACACTTCCATCAGAAGAAGGGATGGAAACCTGCTTTGGTTTGTACAGATACATTCAGAGCTGGTGCTTTTGATCAGTTGAAGCAAAATGCCGCTAAAGCTAAAATTCCTTTCTATGGCAGGTATAATCTCTCTCTCTCTCTCTCTCTCTCTCTCTCTCTCTCTCTCTCTCTCTCTCTCTCTCTCTCTCTCTCTCTCTCTCATATATATGCTTTTACAGCTACACGGAGTCGGATCCCGTGAGAATTGCCGTACAAGGGCTTGAAAGGTTTAACAAGGAAAATTGCGATCTCATAATCGTTGATACAAGCGGACGTCACAAGCAGGAAACATCTCTTTTTGAAGAGATGCGTCAACTTTCTGAAGCAACGGTATTTTTTGTGCTACGCCCGCTTCGTTTTTCTGTAATTTCGACTTAATTGTAGTATTAACAATATAATAATACTCACGTACATTTTATCATTTTCGTAAAATTCCAGAAGCCGGATCTTATCATATTTGTCATGGACAGCAGTATCGGTCAAGCCGCCTTTGATCAAGCTCAAGCGTTCAAGCAAAGTGTTGACGTCGGAGCAGTTATTGTCACTAAGATTGATGGCCATGCTAAAGGAGGCGGTGCTCTCAGTTCAGTTGCAGCGACAAAAAGCCCAGTCGTATTTATGGGCACCGGTGAACATATGGACGATTTTCAAGTATTTGATGTCGAACCATTTGTTAGACGTCTTCTAGGTTAGTTCGCATTCCATAATCATCCTAGTTTCGATACAAACAAATTGGAATAATTATAGTTTTTGTCCCTCAAGTTTGCACCGATCTCACATTTGGTCCATGTTCACTAAAAAAACATTTGGTCGGTTGGTCCCCCATGTTTCATTCCGTTAATTTACTGTTAGTCCGACAAGCCAAGGTGCAGTGATGAACACATGCTTGATTCCGTAAGTACTAACAGAAAATTGACGAAAAATGACCATTGCTGAATTTTGGAAATATAAGTGACTAAATCCTTTTTTTTTAAAACAAAAGGACCAAATATGAGATCGAGGTAAATCAACTAAAGGGACGAAAAGTGTATTTTTCGCTGTCTTTTTTTCCCTTTTCTGTTGCTAGCTAGCTAGTCTTGTTCAAGTAATTAATAGTTGTGTGGTATTTCTACTTTTTATTATTATTATTAATTATAGGTATGGGTGGCGACTGGTCCTGGTTCGTCGACAAAATTCAAGAAGTTGTGCCGATTCTCCAGAAATTTTCTGAAGGAAACTTTACTCTGAGAAGTATATCATATTTTGTTGGGAAAAATACGGGTTTTCATCCCTCATGTTTGCTCAAATTTTACATTTGGTCTCTCATGTTCAGAAAGAAAACATTTGGTCCCCATGTTTTACAAAAATCGACACTTGTAGTCATTTCCGTCAATTTTCCTTTAAAACCAACGGAATCAAGCCTGTGTCAGTCATGCCTTCGGGTTTTCGAATTTCGGGTTTTCGGGTTTCAGGTTTACTGACGGAGTAGGTTTTTTCCTTTTTGTAGGTATTCTCGATGCTTCCGGGATTTAACCAAGATATTTGATAATGATGGACTCAATGAATAAGAAAGGCAAGTTTATTTGTTCCTACTATTATTTTTTTTTATAGAATAACACAAAAATTATAACTCAATACATATTAACTACTATTAATTAATGCAATGTAATGCAGAGTTGGATAGTCCAAATGCGGAGTTGATGAACGAATCTCGAATCGCGCGCATAGCTAAAGGATCTGGCTCTCCTGCCGAGGATGTGAAGGAGATGATGGAAACGTAAAAGCGAATGGCGAGGATGTGGAGCAAGGCGAGCAAGGGAAAGGGGCTTAATATTTCAAAGAAGATTTCGAAGAAAGGATCGGGAAATATGAATGCGGAACAAATGTGTAAGGCACTTCCACTGCAAATACTAAATCAGATCGGTGGCGCGGGTGGCTTGAAAAACTTGATGAAGCAAATCGGTTTTTCCAAGGATATCATGTCTTCGTTTAAGTAGTTTTTCTTTATGTTTATGGAAGTTGACATTGTAAACGTACAAATTTCGAGTTCGTAAATGAAGAAACGATACATAAGGTACAAAATGAAATACTTAGGAATTTGAGAGATTGAAATTAAACAAAGTAAAAAGTAATGTCTTGGCTTTATGGTCGATTTTAATAGAGATTATGATGAGATTGTGCAAATATATTTTTTATTGAGAGCTAATACTTGTGAATTTGTTAAACAACATATATATATATATATATATATATATATATATATATATATATT